GAGTGAATAAAGAAGAGTTATTTACTCCTTCCCATAACACAAAAACTGTCAAATGAAATTAATAGGTAGCAGGTTTCAAAGAAACAAACAAAAAAGGAAGTGTTTTTTCATGCAACGCACTCTCAACCTGTGGAACTCCTTGCCAGAGGATGTTATGATGCCCAAGACTATAACAGGTCTCAAAAAGAGCTAGATAAATTCATGGAGGATAGGTCCATTGATGGCTATTAGCCAGGATGGGCAGGAATGGTGTCCCCAGCCTCTGTCTGTCATGTCAGAAGCTGGGAATGGGCAAAGGGGATGGATCATTTGATGATAACCTGTTCCGTTCATTCCCTCTGAAGCATCTGGCATTGGTCACTGTCAGAAGACAGGATAATATAAACTTGGGAAGAAAAAAAACTATGTAACCTAAAATTCCAAACAACATTTTGAAATTCCAAAACAAACCTTTTCAGAGACTGACAATTTTAGGAAATCCCATGTCAAAGGAAATTTCAAAAATATTTGTTTTCATTCCATTTGGGCCAAAACTAAATGTTGCAATATCAGAATTTCCTATGAAATGGAAAGTGTGAGGTTTGATCAGCTGTACTGTGGAATAGCCCCCCCAAAGGAAGCAGCGGAAACCTCCCCACACTAGAGTAACTAAGGTGGCGCTTTACATGTGGTAAGGTAATAGGGGCTGCTTTCCATTTAGCACTGGCTACTCTTCTCCCTGACAGAGTACCAGTGTCAATGGGAGAGTACTCGGAGATTGATTTATCGCATCTAAGCAGCCGCGATAAATCAACCAATAGCAGCGGTTCCCAGTGTGATGGAGATAAGCCCAAAGGATACGTTGGTCATTGCAGCACTGGACTAGAGAGCTGGATTCAATTCCTACCTATACCACAGAATTTCCCAGTTAGCATTGGGCAAATATCTCCATTGCTTCAGTTTCCCCCAGCAGTAAAATGTAAAATAGACCTTCCTGCCTCCTTTGGTCTGTCTTGACTATTTAAATTGCAGTCACTTTGGGGCAGTGACTGTCTCTCATTATGTGCTTTTATAGGATCTACTGTCTTTAAGGTGCTTCCATAATACAAATGAGTAACAATCATAGAAATACAATGGCCCAGCAGAATAGACAAGATGAGTTCATCCCAATTAAGCCAGTGCTAACGGGAGTGACTGTTGGCTCCAGAGTGGTAGTTACTCCAGATTTACACTGGCGTATGTGAGAGCAGGCTCTAGCCCCAAAACTCCAGTTCATCTCCGGCTTTAACAATCATACATTTTACTCAGGTCAGATCCGTTGGTTTCTTTAGCCTTAGTTAGGCTGCTCTGACAAAGTCGTGCAAGCATTGACTTTTAAAGCAAGCGCCTGTCGGAGTGTAGGCCAGGCAGCCTTCTGAAGAGAATTCCTTTCCGCGCAGCTGTTCCTATGTCCGCCTAATGACAGTCTGGTTTCTGGATTGCTGGGTAGCTCCCTGGTGGAGCAACGCCTTCGAAGGGAGTTTATTGTTTTTCCAGACTGATTTCCAGCGGATGTTTAGTGCCGAACCTCTGAGCTCAGTACCATGGGGAGAAGGTCTTTTATTTTCCTTTTGTGGCCTTGTTTGTTTCTGAGACGTCTGGCTGTATTACTGGAAGGGGACAGAGGCGAGGGCGGGGGGACATATGATGGCAACTAACTACAGGAGACTCACAAGGAGTTGGAAGTCTTTAGGCTAAAATATATCCCCACTTTGTGGGTGAAGGGAGTTATTGATCTATTGCATTCACACGGTTCCCATCACTGTAGTATCTGACCCCAGACAATCTTTGCTGTATTTATCTTCAGAGCACTCTTGTGAGGCAGGACAATTTTATTATCCCCATTTTACAGAGAGGACAATGAGGCACAAGAAAGACTAAGTGACTTGCCCATGGTCACACAGGAAGTATAGGGTGAAACGGGAAATTTAAGCCAGGCCTAGGTTGTGCCCTAACCACTGGGCTAGCCTGCCTCTCTAGTTATCTCTCCACTTTCATAGTGATCCCAGCAGAAGCAAGCCACTGCTAAGCCAAGTCCAACAGGAAATTTCTGTCCACTCTCTCATCTATGTTGTCCATCCTCAAAGGATACTGAAGTTGCTTTGTAGTGAGGGGGGACCCCAAGATGTAGGTTTTCTGGACAAACAGGCAGTCAAACCTCATCTGAAATCGCTGAACCAGTTTGGAAGAAATAAGCTGGGCCCTTTATCAGAAGCTTCTTGGTAAGATTTCTATTGGTTCCTGTTCCTGGCTGGCTTGATGAAGAGCAGCCCATGAAGAGCAGTATGCTGGCACTGCTGCTCCCAGTCCTGGACCAAACTAGAACTGCACCAAGGTGTGTGAGACAGGGTCAGGCCAGGGAGCTGCTGCAGAGAAGGGAAAAAGCAGCCCCAAAGGGAAAAACCCTGTGGCTACGTCTAGACTGGGATGATTTTTCGCAAATGCTTTGACGTTCCCGTTCGGGCAAAAGCCATTTTCTGGAAATGCTTTTGCGCAAAATCAAGCGGCCAGTGTAGCCGGCTGGCAAGTTTTTCCGCAAAAGCAGCTGCTTTTGCGGAAAAACTTGCCAGCTGTCTGCACTGGCCGCTTGATTTTGCGCAAAAGCATTTCCAGAAAATGGCTTTTGCCCGAACGGGAACGTCAACGCATTTGCGCAAGAAGCACTGATTTCAGACAGTAGAATATCAGTGCTTTTGCGCAAAAGGGCCAGGGTAGACAGCTGAAAACTGTTTTGTGCAAAAAAGCCCCGATGGCAAAAATGGTGATCGGGGGTTTCTTGGGCAAAACCGCGTCTAGATTTGGCATGGACGCTTTTCCACAAAAAGTGCTTTTGCGAAAAAGCGTCCGTGCCAATCTAGACGCAGCCTGTGAGAAGAAGCAGAGAACGGCAGCCCAATTAGAGGCAGCTGGGAGGGAGCTGGCTCAGGCAAATTGGGGCCAGCTGACTTCTCTGCTGTCTGTCTGAGGGCCTTTAAAAGCCTCAGCAGTTGGAGGCTGGAGGGGAGAGTGAGAGGATGAAAGGAAGGTGGTTGAGAGACAGAGAGGGAGAAATTGGAGAGAGTAATTTTGACCAGCATTAGGTAAAGGCAGCTAGGGAGGGAGCTGGTGGGCCCCTGGCTGGGCTCCCTACCATTGAGACCTGCTGCAAAAACCCCAAATTTGGGGGCTAAGGGGAGGAGGCCTACCCAGTAGTGGCTTGGGGAAGAGGGGCCCTTGCCACAGGAGCAAAAAATAGAAAGGAAAATAAATAGGTAACATTAATCAGACTTCAATTAAGACTCCGTTTGGGCCTGGGGTAAAGGTTCCAACCAAGCCTTAAGACAAGTTGGCCTGACCTAAGCCCAGATCCAAACACCCCAAAACTTGAGGATCCTATAAAGAACTGAGCCATTGGATTCAAATGCCCCCAGACCTCTAGGAACTAGCAGATCCAGATCTGAGCTTTGCAGCATAGAGCCATCTCCAGTGTTTGTATTAGAACTGGCTCGTCTAACCCTATTGTGTGAACTTACCCCCCCAAACCTTCACTGCTTCTCCCAGAACATAGACCATCCATTCCCAACTTGAAATACTCTTCCCTTAAGCTTCCCTTGCAGCCTCTTGTCTGGAAAGATAAAGATTAGACCAAACCTATCACCAGCCCCAACCCTTTCTCACTCCCCAATCATCCTCCTCCCTTCAGTCTATGGCCTGGACTGACCGCTGCGCTGGTATCTTTCTCAAACACTGTCTGCCTGGTGGAGCCTCAGTACTCAGCCAGCCAGCTGTGGGAAGCAAGATTTGGATGCTGTTGTGCTATGTTTGGGATGAACTTCAAAAGAAGCCCGAACAGTCGCCTCCCAGCTTTCCTTCTGCAGTCACCGGGGGCAGGTCATGTGTGGTGTCTGTAAAGGGAGAGGCTGGAAAAAAAATCAGACTGTCTTTAGGGCTAGTGGGGGAGGAGAAGTTTGTGGGTTTGAGCCCAATAGTGAGGCCAAACAAAACTCCGGCTCCAAATACAGTAGAACCCTGATCCTTCCAAGCAATTTGGAGACACCCAGAGCCTTCATAAAATCAGGGAGTTGCGTCATTGGAGGAGTGACTATAACCCACTCTTGGGTGGAGGGAAGCAAAAGTATTTCAGGTTCAGCGGTGTCTGAGTCAGGCGGCTCCCACAGCAGCGGCTCAGCAGAATTGTCTGCCCTGGAAGCAGGGATGGATTTGTGGATAAAAATCTCTGTGTGTCACACTCTCGCTGTCTTCTCTTGTTAAAAGAATACAGCTGTAAACCCAGCCCCTGAATGCCTCACGGTTCCTCCTACATGCTGGAGCATTTGAGGACAACCACTGTGATACCCTGTGCTTCAGTTCTAAGGCTCTGCCGCAGGGCAAACTCTGATGTCTTTACACAACAGCGGTTTGCCCAACTCCTGTTGATGTGGGTAGGCGTTGACAAGGGTGAAAATGGAGCTCTCGGTCATGGAGCGAGTTTTGCTCAAGTACAAATGAAGTCAGGGCGGTGGGGGCTGGCCCTTCCTCTCTGTCTCTCTCTGTCCAGGTCTCTGTGTCTCTGGCTCGCTCTCTCTTTCTTCCGCCTTCATTTAAACCCCTAATAGGAACCACATTTCCTTTTCTGTGGCGTTCCCACCAGAAACCTCAGACCATTAGGCAAAGGTGAGAACTTTTAGCAATTCAACTAGGGAGAGTCCTTCTCTTCCAGCAGTTGGGCTTGCGTTTTTGAGTATCAAGTATCTGTAGGTTACTTTTATAAGCTCCCTCACTGCTATTCCACCCACCCCCCTTTGCTCTCCCACTCTGCTGCACCAGGCATGGGCAGCATGTTTAGTCAGAGGGAGCTGTGTTTCTGAGACAGCCAGCACTCCCCTGTCTGGCTGAGGCAAGCCGCACTGTGCTTTGCAGTCAGGCTCCAGGTCCAAAGAAGGCTGTGAAGGAAAGAGGGGCAGAGATGTGGGGACCGTCCCTCCAGAGCTTTGAGAACCAACTACTTGAACCACAAACCCACCCCAGTGAATAGAAACCAAGTGGCCAAAGCAGTCGCATACTTTCCACAGCAGCCAAAGGTCATCGATCTAACCTCTCTCGGCATATATGTTACACTACACCCTTCATTGTGGCGTCTGGGCACATAGGAGGTGCCTTGTACCAAACTGCTTCTTTCCCTCATCTGACTCAACTTGCCAAATTGTCTGTTCACTACCCTTTAGAAACTGAGTGGGGAACCCAAGGCCTGGGACTGGGAGCTGGACTCAGCCCCCGACTTGCCTTGATCTGCTTCCCAAGGCTCGGGGCTCCTCCCCAGCATTGGGGAGCACAAGCCAGCATCCCAGCCTCTCCGCCATCCCCCCACATGGCTGAGCACACAAAAAAGTGGAATTTCTCACTCGTGTGTGACCCTCGACTGATTTTTCTATGGGTCAGAGGCCCCCGACCCAAAAAAGGTTCCCCACCCCGGCTTTAGAAGTTCCCTGCTGTGCTATGCTTCATCCAGCAGCACCAGGTGTTTCCCAGCTCTCCCAAGGCTGCCTTTCCACACCCCAAACTGGTTTCCGACATTGGCTTCTACAAGGCCATAGTTTGGTTTGTGTTTGGGGAGGGGGGACTATCGGGCTCATCTGGGCCAGCGCCCTCCTGCTGCTGGTGTTGGGACTCTACAGCCTGCCTCACAGGGAGGCCTGACACCCATGACAAAGGCCAGGGGGTGGTGCTGTTAAGGGCAGGTGAGAGCTGCATGGCATGGCCAGGAGGAGGGGGGTAAACTGCATGCGTCAGGGCTCAGTATCTAGCCTCTACTCAGCCACAGCTGCAAAGTACACATACAGCCCAGCCCCTGGCTTGTGTGTTTGCTGGCCTCCAGGTACAGCCACTTTCTAACAATATAGACCTGGGTCTCCCACTGTGAGGGGGGAGATGAGAAGGTCACTGGGGGCAGGGC